GTTGGTCGGCAAAAGTTGGATTTGCCGACTAAATTTTTTGGTCGCTAAATATTTAATTACCGCGACTAATTTATTTTGTCGGCAAAACACTTTGGTCGCGAAAAGTGATATTTTCCCGACCAAATATCTTAGTCGCCAATTGACACATTTCGCGACCAAAAAGTTTGGTCGCCAATTATCACATTCAACGACTAAAAAGTTTGGTCGCCAATTGTGACATTCTACGACCAAAAACTTTGGTCGCCATTTGTTACTTTTTGCGACCAAAACTTTTGGTCGGCAAAAGTGAGTTTCCACAACCAAGAGCTGTTTTGGTCGGCAATAGATGCATTTTTTGCGACCAAAACTCTTGGTCGGCAATTGTCATTTTTTGCAAAAAAAAATTAATTTGGATGTCGCGACTAATAAATTGGTCGCCAAAGCAGGAAAACAATACACCTGTAATTCCTAATAATTCATTCAATCCATAATAAACCTATAATTTTAAAGTATCATTCAAATTAACTGAATCATTAACATTCGACACAATACAACTTAAAGCATCATTCAAATTAACTGAATCATTAACATTCAACACAATACATAATTCATTAACATTTGACACAATACAACTATTCTAAATTTTCATTCACAAGTCACATCCATCTAGCATAACAATTTGAAACATAACTATTTGTTATCCATGCGCAGCTATCAACAAATAAAACTACTAATATTTGTTATCCATACACATCCATCCAAAAATATTTAATCCTCCCAAAAATCTTATACTGCCAAGTAGTCTTGTACAATTTACCATGAGTTTTCTTCACCAGAAAATTGGCTTTCTAACTGAGCAAAGCTCCAAAAATTATTACTGAACCTGATTAGAAAATCCTACCCCACGAGACATGACAATTGCCCATCTACTTCCTGCAGTAGCCATGGCAGTTACATAGAATCCTTCCCTCCATTTTTTATTTATCCACTTGAATGGAAATGACTCGCTCACTTTATAGGATTGCTGTAAATACTGGGTACCTAGGTTTTAAAGTAGTGAAAGTGAGAACAATAGTAAGTGAAACATTAGTAGAAAGGAACTAAAATAAATTATTGAAACATTAGCTTACCTAAAAACATCTGGCCGTTGATCATAATCAACATGTAGACCAGTAGAACCATCACGCCACCTGGTTGCTGCATGTCAAAATGTGTTGTCAGAATAATGAAAAACTGGCATAATTCAGTATCGTACTGTCTTATATTTGTACTGCAGAGAACAAATGTATATGGTAAAATTTACCCAATCCAAGGTCAACAAGGAACAGTTTTTTCTCATCAGGTGTCCCTGGCGGATGAAGCAAAAAATTCTCAGGCTTCACATCTCCATGCACATATCTGCATAAAGTTGTAGCAGTCATATACAGGCCATATACTTTAACAAGTGGAAATCGCTACAGCTAAATAATAATAATTGGATTCTAAGTTTATTTACAAACATAGAAAGAGGAAGAAAGAAAAACCTCTCCTCACATCAAGGGAAATAAAAAAGAATATAAGCAAACTTAAAAAGTAAATGGGGTAAAAAAAGTCACCCTCTGGAGTGCATCTTCTCTAATATAGAGATTGCTTCAATGGCAATGCAGGCAACCATTTCAATGGACATCCTGAAGTTGGAAAACATAACAGAAGAGGTACAGAGATGTGCCAATTGGAACAGGAAACTATGATAAAAGGTATGTTCTTCAGAAATTAAATTTGGGAAGAAGCCTACGCGTGGGAGTTGTTATTCCAAACATCCCATAAACTAGGTCCAAGCATATCCATCACCTGCAATAATTCAATTTTATTCAGTAGAACCAAGGCACATCACCAAGAATAATACAATAAAATTAATGCATGAGATCTATTCCTGTGAACCTTTGTCGAAAAGAGGTACAGAGCACACGCTAACAAATTCTGGGACAATACTTCTAGTACTGGCAGATTGTAGCAAAGAGATTTCGCACTGGATGTCATTGTTGCCACAACTACATGCTTGCTAGCAAGGGAAGCCCGAACAGACTCTGCTTGCAGATTGTTAGGATCAAACACACCCAGAGAATTCTCTCACACACACAGAGAACACAATATTTACGTGGTTCGGCCCAATGCCTACATCCACGGACAGAAATGAGAATTATCACTAAAATGGAGCAAAAATACAAATACAGAGGAGGAGATAAAACTCACTCAACTCACAGCTCTCACACTCAATTTCTGATGATTCAAACCTCTCCTCACTCATCTCAATTTATAACCAAGAGAGGAGGAGTAGGTGAAGTGCTAGCCATAATTGGCCAAGGTGGTGCTACCCTCACTATCTTCCATAGTGGGTTGGTGTAGCCCTCCACCATCTTCTTTTACAACATGGTGCTACCCACACTATGTGAATGGTGGTTCCATTACCATGTGGGTAGTGGATGGAGCCAACAATTCTCCCCCTCCACGCCCACATGGACAACTGACTTCTCACTTGAACTGCCAAGACACAGCTCCCCCTGATTGGATGCCCTGTACCCCCTGCTCGGGATACCCTTGCATTATCGTGCAACTCCTTGCATGATGAACACGGGAGCAACTAGAAAACTTCAGAGTTTTACACATCAACATCCTTAATTTTCCTTGCTCGGAGCTTATTTCTGAACAACCAGCCTTTGCTTTCTGCGCTTCAGAACAACTTCCCAGCGATCTTATACGCCCGTTGTCTGTGCTGCAATCCCTGATGTTCGGTTCTGTCTCACTTGTACGTCCGTACTGATGTTTGACAGTTAGCCCTTCTGCCAAGACAACTTCCACCGGTCTGTACAAGTTACCACTATGCAACTCCGTGCATAGTGCTTGCACCCCCTTATTGGAGTGCATTGCAAAGCTCACTTTGCGACTTGAGATTGCATCCCTCCCTTCCATGCATCTTTTGAGAGGTTGCAAAATGTCTCTAACACGGAAGCAAAAGAAACTCTCTTCTTCACTGGCATAGTCTCTACAGATTTGGTTTCTTTGCTCTGAACTTTCTTCAAGATAGGCTTCACTGGCTCAGATCTGTGCACCTTTGAATTGCCTCCTTGCGTTCCCGTGCACCGTTTTCGCCATTCCTGATGAAAGCCTTGTTCAATCATACGCTTTGGTTGCGTATGTTCTCTCTTTGTACCCTTCGACTGGCATTTGACAACACTCATCTTTGTCAAAACTTCTCCTTCCAGTCTATACAGTTTGTTGCACAATTTACCTTGCAACAGTTCTCTATCACCTTTGTGTACATGAAGAACCCCACCACTAGATAAGAAACAATTTCCTTTTAGATCTAGCATACTCAGGGAGATTAGATTCCTCCGTACTCCTGGCACATGTCGGACCTCAGATAAAATTACTTTTCTTCCATCCTTAGTAAGGAATCGCACTGTCCCTATGCCGACAACTCTGTTCACTGTGTTGTTGGCCATCCGGATAATGCTACCGCTGACTCTTCGGTAAGTGGAGAAAAGCTTCCTATCCGCACATATGTGGAACGTACACCCTGAATCCAAAATCCAGCCGAGTGTTTCCAACTCTGACGAGATTGTAAGCAACACCTCTTCATCGTCAGAGGAATGCACTGCAACTGCTGTAGTTGAGGGACCTCCGTGTCCCTTAGCCTTCTCTTTGGCTTGTCTGTCCGCCTTTTTCTCTGGGCAATCTCTTATTACGTGATCCTCTTGATCACAGTAAAAACACCTCCTCGTGTTGTCCTGTCTGAACTGTGAACGCCCTCTGCTTTTACTTCTTCCTCTACCTCTGCCCCTTTCTCTATCTCTGCCTCTACTTTCTGTGACAAGGGCATGAGACTGCTCTCCGTCCATCTCTTTCTTCCTTGCCTCCTCGTTGAATAAGGCGTCTGTGACCATCCCCATGGTCAGCTTCCCTTCGGGTGCAGAATTACTGAGAGAAACCACCAACGTCTCCCAGCTGTCTGGTAAGGAACTGAGTAATAATAATGCTTGCATCTCATCCTCCAACTCCATTTTGATTGATGCAAGCTGGTTCACAAGGCTGTGGAATTCACTGGTGTGTTCAGCAACAGACACACCATTCTTCAGCTTCAGGTTTATAAGCCTTCTCATTATCAAGGCTTTGTTCCGTGCGGTCTTGGACTGGTACATGCCCTCCAATTTCATCCATAGGGCATAGGCGTCTGTCTCTTGGGCAACATGGTGGAACACACTGTGGTCAATCCACTATCTGATTTGACCGACAGTCTTCCGGTTAGTTTTTATCCAGTCCCCATCCTTGTCTCCATCTGGTTTGACCCCCTTTAGCGCTATAGGGTCAAACAAATCTCTACAATACAGGATGTCCTCCATCCGCGGCTTCCATATCGCATAATTAGAAGCGTTCAACCGAATCATCGGCCCTGAAACTGATGTGGATTCCCCCATCATCCAGAAAATAATCTCTGTTTGAAAAACAGGCTTTGCTGTGAAGTCCGGACTGCTCAAATTAGCCGGAAAAGCACTTCGGATTGCCAAAAAAGTATAAACATAAGGTGTAAGTGTAAGGTGTAAGTGTAAGGTTCCTACTTCGCCCTACAGGACCTCCGTGTCCCTTAGCCTTCTCTTTGGCTTGTCTGTCCGCCTTCTTCTCTGGGCAATCTCTTATTACGTGATCCTCTTGATCACAGTAAAAACACCTCCTCGTGTTGTCCTGTCTGGACTGTGAACGCCCTCTGCTTTTACTTCTTCCTCTACCTCTGCCCCTTTCTCTATCTCTGCCTCTACTTTCTGTGACAAGGGCATGGGACTGCTCTCCTTCCATCTCTTTCTTCCTTGCCTCCTCGTTGAATAAGGCGTCTGTGACCATCCCCATGGTCAGCTTCCCTTCGGGTGCAGAATTACTGAGAGAAACCACCAACGTCTCCCAGCTGTCTGGTAAGGAACTGAGTAATAATAATGCTTGCATCTCATGAATTATCTCACACACACAGAGAACACAATATTTACGTGGTTCGGCCCAATGCCTACATCCACGGACAGAAATGAGAATTATCACTAAAATGGAGCAAAAATACAAATACAGAGGATGAGATGAAACTCACTCAACTCACAGCTTTTTACTCTCTAATTTCTGATGATACAAACCTCTCCTCACTCATCTCAATTTATAACCAAGAGAGGAGGAGTAGGTGAAGTGCTAGCCATAATTGGCCAAGGTGGTGCTACCCTCACTATCTTCCATAGTGGGTTGGTGTAGCCCTCCACCATCTTCTTTTACAACATGGTGCTACCCACACTATGTGAATGGTGGTTCCATTACCATGTGGGTAGTGGATGGAGCCAACACAGATACCAGAAGAATTAAAGTTCATTCAGAATTTTGGCTCAGAAAAGGATTGCAGTTCAAGATAACATCCAATAATTTGTGTACAAGGTGGCTAAGTGATACTACTGAGCTTAGATGTCATGGATAACTTCACATAATTATATTATTTGGAGTAAGAGAAACTTTAGGGAAGTAGGATGCAAAAATTATTAGTATTAGTTATTATTTTTTTTAGATCGAAAAGTGTATCGAAGAAGCACTATTCAAGTGATAATTTCTGGACAAACAAGTGTCAAGGCAAGTCAAAAATAGGATGCCAGTATGAATACTAGAAGGGAAATGCTAAAGTTGGGATATATGTAAAAATTTATTGAAATATGTAAAAAATGTATAAAAATATTTAACAATATATAAAACATGCAAGATGTGTATTACCATTCTATTTTTTATTTTATTTTATTTTTTACATTATTTGATCCATAATCAACACCCCATTGGGCTGTGGCTAGCAGAGTCCATTCTAGAAATGGACTTAAGAGTGGCAAGATGAAAGAACAGTTAAGGAGATGTTTTTGGCCTGGGGTTGGACCATTCCAATCAAGGGCAATAAGATTGAACTTCAATATACTAGGAGAGGAAATGCAATGCTAAAGTGAAATGTTGATTCAATCATTCAACAGAAAAAAAAGCCGTAGTTGAAGGCCTCATACTGCTTTCAAAATTCTATTCTCTCTTATTTTCTACTAAAGCTTTTATGAAAGATAAAATAGTTTAAGAAACAGGGTAGAACAAATCGCTGCTGAATCGAGCTCTCCGACAAAAAAAATATATATTGAAATATAGAAAATGACATATATATAAACCACTAACAAGAACTAAAAAACAGAGACAAATCTAAAAGATTGATCATATTGAAGATCTACGTGCACATCAAACTTCAACAACAACAAATCACAAACAAATCGTCAAGATAGATAGATCATATTCAACTTTCATTGCAAAAATAGAATCAAAAACCACAATTCATAGCTTTCATACGCCAAATCAGATCAGTTTTATTAAAGCTAAACCAATACAAACAGAGAAGTAGAGAAACAGAGAAATACAACAAATAAAATCAAAATTATTGTCTCTGGTTGTTGGTTGGACAACTAGAAGTTAGTGAGCAATGAATAATGAAAATTGACTGCATCGCATGTTGAAAAGAATACCACAATCTGTAAAGTGAATGCATGAGAGAACTTGACAATAAGAACAAGTTATTATGCACTGAAGTAATACAACTTTCACACCAAATTAGTTCGAATGAGAAATAATATGACATTTCTTCCTATATTTAACAATTAAAAATAATAAAAAAATGAATAAAGGAGAGAAAAACAAAGTCTTGATCTTCTCCTGACTAAAGGAAAGTACTCAGTGTGAAGTAATATTTGGAAGTGTATAAAGATACAGTGACCATTCTAGAGAATGATTCATGAGAGACTCCTACAAACCAAACTCATAATGATGACACCCTACTGATTAGTGAGTGGCATTGTGTTACCAGAGTAGCACTCTTTCATTAACTTTCAAATGTGAAAGAAGTTTAAAAACCAGAAAGGTAAATGAAAGGCTATAGTTCAACTAGTTATCTAACCATGAATTTACCAATTCAAAGGCACATGCAGATCTTGCACTGATTGACCAGCACAATTCTTATGATACCTGAATGTGCATGCATTACATAAAGGAACAACATTACAGCACGTGTAGGAACAATCAGCAGTTTGGAAATAGAAGGGCGGCCTTACCTTATAGGAAATTTCTGAGTCAAAAAGAGTCTTCAGAATGGATAGGAGGACCACAAGCCATGAACCACAGGGCACTATACAGAAAATTCAATCAGAATTTTCATATGAAATCGAAATCCATGAAAGTCACCAAATCAGAGTCTCCGTCACATTACCTTTAACGTATCTCTGAACTAATTGTTGTGTATGCATTACACCATTGTTGATTGAACATCTTATGTGATGAAATATTGAGATGCATTAAATATGTATGCTTGTTAGGGAGGAGAGAGGGGTTGTACTCCAGTGTGTGTGAGAAGATAGGGGATGAACTCCACACACCTATGTGTTCATATACTTTAACACATTGTTTGTACCTGAATGGTTTATGTATATATGTTGTACATGTTGGTTATGCCCTGTTGCATTTTGATTGGTGGTATTACACCTTGCGCTGATAATCAGAGGTACCGTTACCTTCCAGCTAGCGCCTGGTAAGCTGACTGCGCTGAGAATCTAAGGTACCACACCCTTCCAGCTAGCGCCTGGTAAACTGGTATGTTGTTGTGAAGAGGTGTATCTTTGGCTTACTATGCACATGGCTAGTAGAGCAAAGTTTTGTTGTTGATATTTCAGTGTGTTTCGCCCTCCAAAATAAACCCATTATATACATACACAATTGACATGTATTCTTTAATGAAAACATTTTATTAATTCATTCATCAGAGTATTACTAAATAAAAGCATTACATGTAACATCGAATAAAATGCCCTACAGGCTTACATCTTTCCAAGTCAACACTTGGATACAAAAAAATATGAGTTCTAACTCAATACAAGAAAAGCCCTAGGCTTGAATGTTTACATGTACTAATAAATAAAGACAATTAACTAAAGATAGTCTTCTTTAAAATCCAGATTACCATGTGCAACAATCGTCGAAATGGAAGCAACTGATGTACACACAACGGGTGTAGGGGTATCATTTCCTGTTGTAACATTACTTTTGTTAGCCATTTCTGATTAACAAAAATAATTTATATTAAACAGAAGATTTCACTATATATATAACTATAAAAATAAATTTATATATTTATATATAGTAAACTTCACAATACCCGAATAAAAAAATGTAAAAATAAGTGTCTAAATAATCTAGTATACTACAAATTATTAGGACAACAAAACAGAGTTCTATTGCAAAGAGAATTCAGGTAAACAAATTTTTTCCAAATTAAAAATGTCTACCAAACAATTACCAAATAAATTTAGTAAAATTCTTATTTAGGTTGAAAATCTTATCAGCAACAACCGCGTTCTTAAAAAACAGTATTTTGGAATATTTTGAAAAATTAACACTAGAACCATAATACAGAAGAACATAGTTTCACTGAAACACTGTTACGGTTAAAACAATATTGTCTTAACAATATTGAAAGGCCACACGTATAACAGTGAAACTGAAAGAAAACAGAGTCCCACAACAATACTGATATGATAAAGCAAAATTTTTAAAAATATATATATAACGGAACAGCACAGAAAACCCAACTAGTATTTTACTGTAAACGAAACCCAAGAAAAAAAATAGTAAACCCATAAATAAATATATGTAGGATTCTCTAAACTTAAAATCAAAATTTAACAAAAAAAAGAGTTATACTCAAATACATATTCGGGTAAATATTAGTAAACAAATGTGTAATAAATAAATCAAACAGTATAAACCCATAATTCTAATACACTGTATAAAAGAAACTAATTTGCTAAAAATTAATTTTAACCGAAAAATCAATACTGTAATACAGAAAACAGTATGGAAATTCTGTCTTAAAATTGTTGGAGATAATTTTGGCAGTAACTAATTAAATAATATAAAATAAATAAAGTAAACAACAAAATTAAACCTTATAATACTTCTGCAGATGGTTCATGAACAAATTTGTAATTGAGGCTAGTGTTTAAACACTGTGTCTTTAAGACAAAATTTTGTCTTCTCCAATGATGTTTGAAAACAATGGACGTCGTGTCTCCAAGATACAACGATCACCACAAACGAAGAGAGCATACTTTTTGATCGTACATGGAACCAAAAATATGTTTTTACACTCACAAAATTCAAACTCACATAGATGAAGAATACAAGAAGAATGCTTGAACTTATGGAATTTGGAATGAAGAAAATTGGAATGGGACCTGCCTTTACATAGGCTTTGTTGGCACCTATTCGGTTTGAATAGAAAAAGCATAAATAAGGGACATGACCCTTTCTTTAAAATAAAGAGATACCATGAAAGGATTACACCCTTTCATTCAAGGGATTTTTATTGATAAATTCATTTTAGAGTTGTTATAACCCATTAGGTCCACAAAGGAATATTATAACCTGATTAGTCCCATAAACTTTTCTTTTTATTCCATAAGGTCCATTTTTATAATTTAATATGTTTACTTGGACTCTTTTGCCCCCATATATATATATATGTGTGTGTGTGTGTGTGTGTGTGTGTGTACAGTGTTAATACATATTACGTGCCTGTATCTTCGCTGATTCAGTTTGGCAGTTTCTATTTTACGCTTTTCATCATCATTCCAATTTGGAGGGATACGTTTCTATTTTGCATGCTCGTTCCAAGGCTTGGATCTGCTAGGGTTTCATTCTTGCTGTTTTAGTCTGGTTCTGTGAGTTTCGAGTGAAGACGACGAAGAGGAAAGTGTTCGGTTGTCACATTTTCTAAACTATAACAAGATCAAATCAGTTGTTTTCAAGTTTCTAGACGATTGTAGGATTGCATGATTAAGGTTAGTATCAATTTGGTTATGAATACATGTTCAGTTTATGGTTTCATTCGTAAACACATTTTTCAAAAAACATCAAAGAATTATTTTTAAGTTTTCAAATATTGTTTTGGCTCAAAAATAAAAACATGAAAATGAGTGTTTCCAAATTTTTTATTGATTTTGTTTCTAAAAATACAAAAAATGAAAATGACACATAATTTAATAGGTTCTTAAACTTGATGCACCGTAATTAAGCCTCTAAAAATGTTGAAAAAAGAGAAGTATTATCTGAAACTAAAAAATTCGCAAATTATTACCTTTTTTTTTTCTTCCATAAATCTCTTCACACATCGGACATTCAAACACAGCTTAGAACTGATTTTAGAGAAGGTACTCTTTTGAGCAAAGGTACAGGTGATAGTTAAGAAACTTTTGGATTGTTGAACTAGCAGAATTGAGCCATCTATTACAAAGCATGCAAACATTCTTTTTTATGGGAAACAAATGGTTATCTATTAAACAGGGAAAATCCTATAGACTATCACTTTTGTAAGAATGTATAAATAGGGTAAGCAACCTAGCTAACCTTCCTAAATAGTCTTTCTCCATGAATCAAAACATACATAATCAACCATTCTCCTCTCACAAAGCTCATACAATATTGTCAATTTCTCTTCTTTGATCTCACCTCCTCAGCCACTCAAGAACTCACACAATGTCTCTAACATCAACCTACTATTTTTCATATAAGGCACTTCTCTGAAATGCCCAATGATTGTTTTATTTATCTTTTATTTTTATTTTTATTTTTTACAAAAATACTAGAAATTTCAAAAAATTTTATATCAAATATCTCACATAGATGTGAGACCTATATAAGACTCACATGATATGAGTTCACACCTATGTGAGATATTTGGTAAAATTTTTAGAATTTCTAACATTATTCTTTTTTTTTATTTTTTATTTTTTATACTTTGATATTTGATTTGTTGGACTGATAAATAACAATGATTATTTTTTTTATTTTAAAAAATATGTATATAATAAATTTTGCAAGTTCAAAATAATTAATTTCGCTTTCGAATTAAAGTGTTCCCTTTTATCTTAAAATAATAGTCTCTTTTCGAAAATTCAACTTTTTTGATAGTATAATTATTTCATTTTAAAAAAACTAATTTTTCAAAATTATCCTTTAATAATATTTTTTTTTGAAATATTAATTATCATAATTGTACTTTTATGTTATTAATGAATTTAAAAGAAAGACAAAATAAAAAATTTACATTATTTTAGTTCTTAATTTTTGAAAATGGACTAATATTTTGAGATAATAAAAAATTAAATAATAGACTAATATTTTAAGACGGAGAGAGTAATTAAAAGTAATACAAATATGAAGATATAGTGGTAATAAGAGAAACTATATATTTTTATAAAAAAATTATGATAACATAATATTTTTATCAATGTAATTAATAAATTACTAGCAACAAGTGGGCTATACATTTTATATGAATTAAAATTTTTAAAAAACCCAATATAATTTTGTTAAATTTTTAAAATTCAGTAATTTTTTTTCAAATCTTATTATTAGAGTCTACACCTAAGTTTTTTTAAAACTTTGTAAGACCTATGCATGGACAAAGAATTTTTTATTTTTATAAGCTTTGGATAATGAGGAATATTTCTCTTTTTAGCTTTTTGAACTCATTCGTTATTAAATGGGAGGAGAGAGAATTTATGGGCAATTTACAAAGATTAAAGAGCATAAAATATGGGCCTTCAAAAAGTGCCTAACCCATCAAAAGGATGGGCTGTGGCCTGAGTGTATGAAGCACTGCATCAAACCGAACCTATTATTGATTTGCAAATTCCATTCACCAAAGCAGGCCTTTAGGAACATCAACTTACACCTAAAAATCGTTGAGCATCGGTTAGGTTTGGTTCGGTGCGGTGTTGTTGATTCAGTTTGAGTCTTTCAAATTGAGACTTTTTTTTAAAAAAAAAAAAAAAATGAGATTAAAATAAAATTGGGAGTCCAAGCCTTTAACAAAATCACTACTCCACAATAAGTTCTAATAGAAATACAAACTTGTAGAATCACAATTCACAAGTTGATCAAATCTTTAACAAAATACAAGCCCACTAATAACCTCCCTCCTCAACATACAATTTTTTTTTTTTTAAGATGGCTATTGAAAGCATGTAGATCAGCGAAGTGCTAATTTGAGATACTTTTAAGTCTTTTTAAAAACAAAAGTAACAAGCCCACAAGTCTTTCTTCAAGTATTAGATACCCTATATCATCTATATGACATATTAGATACATGAATCGGTCGATTTTGATGGGATTCGGTTACTAGAAACTGAATATTGTATGTAATGAGAAAAAAATCAACCAAATTTGTTTT